CTGAAGATCATCCAAAAACGATTAGAACAGCACATCAGCAGAGAACTGCCGGAAGTCCAGGCTGGGTTTAGAAGGGGTCGTGGTACTAGGGATAAAGAAGAAAAAATAATCAGCAACATACATAGTATAAAACCAATTCTTGTGACATGCCCACTTCCAATCCCATCCCCTTGCATCTACTTTTACCAATTATAACACTAAACACTCTTCCCAGGGCACTGTGTCCAGTAATCTGTTGTGATGGCCTCCTAGAACTCAGAACTATGCTTACACATAAGGGATTTATTAGAGAAGCTAACAGGTTACAATGCTGATTTGAAACAGGATGCAGTTCTTTAGTCATATAATGGCATCTCCCTTCATAGTACTCCCATAAGTTTACGTGAATGTTCCTGGCTCTGACTCCATGGGTTAGCAGTCTCAGACCAACTCTCATCATGGCTGTCTCCGGTTCCCTACTGCTGCTTGCTTCCATTGTTGCTTCTCTTATCTTGGTTCTGGTATAACTCTTAGAGAAATATCTGGCCTCAAGGGACATGCTGAATTCTCTGCTTCTTTCTTGCTGATAGTGAGTCCTGATCAGTTTAAACTTGGTGGGATTGCAAGAATGACCAGATCCCTCATTAGTTTACATACCCTGTTTGCATGTTCCTACTCAGCCATGTGTTAAAAGTCAAAGGCAGTGGCCTAGGGAAGCCATTTTGACAGTATACCCACTACATCACAGCAGCACACAACTAGTAGGAATTAGGAAGAATTGGAGGTACTAGGAAAGCTTGTAGTGAATTAAATTTTTTCAGAATTTGATTAAGTACAGGGGACTTTTTAAATAAAGGAAATGTTTCATGTATCAGGGAAAAATACTGCATGTAGCTTAGCTACTAAAGTATATTTACAAATCCATATGTAAAAACAGATTTTAAAAATGTTAAATATAGAATTGCTTGTAATATTAAAAAATTAGAAGGCTAAATATAACTAAATATAATCCTTAATTGCAAACGTTAGAGAATGGGATATATGATATATACCCTTTGATTAATCTGTTTAATAGCATGCATTTAATAATTTGATACAGAAAATTTAATGATATTAAAATTTTTTTGTGATACATCATTGGTGTGGAGAAAGTATTTGTCAGTATCTGCAAGTCTTTAGAAAGTAGTTCTTGACTTTGTTTGGTTTAGAGTTCCTGAAAGCTTAACAAGATCTGGGAACTCTAAGGCTGCTACTGTTTATAAAGGAGACTGGCGGTAAATACATCAGAATATTTAGTTGTTATCCTTGGATTTCTTTGAACTTATCTGTATTTAAAGTTTTCTGGAGTCAGCAGTATTTTGTAACTGAGAACAAAGCTGTCCATGCTTTGCTTAACAGATTGCTCCATCAGGGCTCCTTGTTGTTGTGTGCCATCAAATTGGAAGAAACTCATAGCTAACCCTGTAGTGACTTTTCAGAGGAGGTAAATTACATAAGAAGAGATTTCTCATCTGTCTCCTGTTATGAAGTCACTGCCTCTGTAAACCCCGGGAAGGTCAGCTATGGGTCAGTTCCAGTTTAACAGTATATAACAACAACACAGTCACCAAGAAGATTGCCTGTTTTTCTCCACAGAGCAGCTGGTGGATTTAAACTATGCTTTGAGTTGCAAGCACAACTCCTTACCACTAGGCCACCAGAGTTCCCTTTAAAGTGCATTACAACTTAGTCTGCATGGTGGCTACGAGCCATCTTCACCTCATAGAGAAGAGGGACACTCTGGCATTGTTTGACAGTGCATTTTGTAGTATATTTACCTTTTTAATTGAAATTTGAGTTAATTCTAAACTTTTGTGTTAAGGTAAAACCTCTTGGTGTTATTTGGGGAAAGTTTTCAGAGTTCTACAGCAAAAAAAACACAATTATGTTTGATGACATTGGCAGAAATTTTCTGATGAACCCACAGAATGGACTAAAGGTAAGAACATTTTACTTACTGTATGCTCTTGTTCGCTGGGCTGTTGTGTTTTTGTTTTTTTGGTTTTTTTTTTTACCATATGCTCTATTCTCTTTTTTTTTTTTATTTTATTATTTGTGTGTGTGTACTGTCAAATCAGATCTGACTGGTACAGGAGGAAATTGTCCCTCCTTCCTCGGCAGAGCGTCTGGTGGATTTGAACCATGCGCCTCTGGGATTGCAGTGCAGCTTCTTGCCACTAGGCCACCAGAGCTCCCCTACCATATGCTCTTATAATCTCAAAGTTGTGGTAGAACCTTAAGCTTTGGTTGAGCTTCATAAATTAGTCTTAAATTAGTATTCTTTGTTTTTTAAAAAATTATTTTAATGAAAGTTTACAGAGACTTTGAATTTCCATTTAGTCTATATTCTTATGGTCACTGGTTATAAAAATATTAGTATTTAGGATGATGCACGGTGGAATACTATGAAACATTATGGCACTGAATTTGTGAAACATGACAAACATGGATGAATCTAAAGGATATTTCGGTGAAATAGTGAACTTAGAAAAGGATAAATACTTTCTGAGTCCACTGTTCTAAAAATTAAGGAAACATATGCATACAGAGAGGCACTATTACCAGAGATGAGAGGGGAAGGAAAATCAGTAATTAGAAAATAGACACATATTAACTTGGATGAAGGGAATGGCTATATAAAATAAGGCATGATTAGCATAATATCATGAAGCAAAAGGTATAAAGAGGTGCACAAGAGTAGAAATAACAATAAACCGTGACATTATGAGTAATAACAATAACCTTCAAGTGGATACATAAGCAGATAGGCAAGGTGAACAGATATGGACATGTTAGAGGGTCTATACCAATGATTAATCATGCATAGGCTTGACAGCTGATATTTCTACATGCATATTTGTGTGTGCTGCAGATATCTAAATATTCAGAGGCCATTGGGTAAATATTTTAACCGTAACTCAATACCCTGAAGGAATGAGTCACTGTTTGTGGGGTCATAGTGCCATAGTACTGGGTGGTTGATGTCAATGTCTATTGGTATAACATAGTCCACAAAGGCATTGTTCTGTATCCTGCATTGGTGAGTGATCTTAAAAGCTTTGCATGTGGCCACCTAAGGTACAATTACTGGTTTCTTCCTGTATGGAGCAAAGAGTGAAAACAAAAAACACATTTTAAAAATTAGTTTATAGTACCAGAAGAACTAGATTATACCTTGTTGGCACTCTGAAAGGGATCACAATATGAAGTCCTGGATAGAGCAGGAGATAAATGGAGATCAGATTCAAAATGGCCATGCTTACTGATCTGATAAGGCCTTTAGTTAATCCTTTGAGTTTAGAACTCACCTGACTCTTGTGACACAGTTTTCTGCCAAATAATAACAGACCTGTAAAGGTGAACAGTACCACCAAGTAGGTGCTCACAGTCAACCATACAAGATCAAAAGGGCAGCACTGGTTCTTTGATAGGGCTCAGAGGGCAGGAAGGGAGAGGATAGAAGGCATGAATGGGAACAAGAACCACAGAGATAGTGGGAAAAGTTCAGTTGTGATGTGGGGATTACAATCAGTATCATAAAACAAAATATAAAAGTTTAAATGGAATCCAAATCTGTCACTTAAATGACAATTAAAAAAGAAGTCTTCAGAAAGAGAAGAAAATGGCTTCTATTGGAATGTTTTTGATAGGTACCTTTGCCATGTGTAGTTCACCAGATAAAATGTATTCTTCAGAGGTTTGATTGATGTGAGACTAATTCTCCAGAAATTAATACATGTACTACCAAGGAGATAAAGTCAAGACATTGAAGGACATTTGAAGAGATTTTTTTTTTTTTACAATACAGTAATTGTAGCTTACTTATGTAAAGCTTATTTTGCCAGTTACTATTTAGGCTTCCCTGTTAGTATTTAGACTATTTAGGCTTTACTCCTATCTTGATAGTAGCAGTCAAGAAATGAAAAGATGTTGCATTGGGAAAATCTACTGTCTAGCATCTCTCTGAGCTGTGGTACTGGAGAAGAGTATTGAATGCACTGTGGATTGCCAAGAATACGAACAGATTCATCCTGGAGAGGGTTAAACCAGGCTGCTCCCTGGAGGCAAGGATTCTGGGGCTTCATCTGACATACTTTGAAGGTGTTGTAAGGAGGGAGCGGTCCTTGGAGAGGGACATCATGCTTGGGAGGGTGGAGGGACGGCGCTGGAGGGGAAGACCCTCTATGAGGTGGATTGATACAGTGACTGGGGTAATCGGGATGGGTGTGTTGGAGGCAATGCGATTGGCACAGGATAGAGCAGGGTTTAGGGCTGTTGTATATACGGTTGCTACCTATCCCAAAGAAAGGTGACCCAACAGAATGTGGAAACTACAGAACAATCTCACTGATTTCACATGCAAGCAAGATTTTACTGAAGATTATCCAAAAACGACTGGAACAGCACATCAACAGAGAACTACCAAAAGTCCAGGCTGGGTTTAGAAGGGGTCGTGGTACTACTAGGGATATTGTAGCTGATGTTAGATGGATCTTGGCTGAAAGCAGGGAATACCAGAGGAATGTCTATCTGTGTTTCATTGACTATGCAAAGGCATTTGACTGTGTAGATCATAAGAAACTATGGCTGACTCTGAGAAGAATGGGAATCCCAGAACACTTGATCGTTCTAATGCGAAACTTATACTTGGACCAGGAGGCAATTGTCAGAACAGAGCAAGGGAATACTACATGGTTCAAAATTGGGAGGGGCGTACGCCAGGGATGCATCCTATCTCCATACCTTTTCAACCTATATGCAGAACAGATTATCCGGGAGGCTGGGCTCTATGAGGAGAAATGTGGGGTCAAGATTGGTGGAAGATTTATCAACAATCTGCGTTATGCGGATGACACAACCCTGCTTGCTGAAACTGAAGAGGACCTGAAGCGCCTGCTGCAGAATGTCAAGGACTGCAGCCTACAATATGGATTGAGGCTCAATGTCAAGAAGACAAAGATTCTCACCACTGGACCAATTGGCAGCATCAGGATGGATGGTGAAGAGATTGAGATTGTACACAGCTTTAGTTTGCTTGGCTCCATAGTCAACAGTCTTGGCACCAGCAGCCAGGAAATTAAAAGGCACATTGCCATGGGAAAGTCTGCTGTTAGGGACCTCTCCAAGGTACTGAAGAGCAGTGGTGTCTCTCTGGAGACTAAGGTGCGTTTGATACAGGCCATGGTCTTCGCAATCACTTGTTATGCATCAGAGAGTTGGACAATGACCAAGGAGGATAGAAGGAGAATTGATGCCTTTGAGCTGTGGTGCTGGAGAAGACTGTTGAGAATACCATGGACTGCTAGGAAAACAAACAGATTTGTCCTGGAAAGGGTTAAACCGGGTGGCTCCTTGGAGGCAAGGATTCTGAGGCTCCGTCTAACATACTTTGGACATGTTGTGAGGAGAGACCAGTCCTTAGAGAGGGACATCATGCTTGGGAGGGTGGAGGGACAGCGCAGGAGAGGAAGGCCCTCTATGAGGTGGATTGATTCAGTGACTGGGATAATTGGGGTGGGAGTGTCAGAGACAGTGTGATTGGCACAAGACAGAGCGGAGTTTAGGGCTGTTGTACATAGGGTCGCCATGAGTCGCAAGCGACTCGACGGCACATAACAACAACAACGAGTTGTAAGCGACTTGATGGCACATAACAACAACAACAACAGTATCTCTCCAGAGGACTGAAGAGCAGCAGTTTCAGTTTACAGACTAAGATGTGCCTGACCCAGATCATGGTATTTTCAGTTGCTTCTTATGCATCTGAAAGTGAGTGAATAAAGACCAGAGAAGATTTAATGCCTTTGAATTATGATGTTGGCAAAGAAATGCTTAGAGATTCTAACTCCGTCCAGCAATTCTGATTCTAGAGGCATTTTAGGCATTCCAAAAGCATATTGTTTCATTCAAAATGAATTCAAATTTGAAAGACTATCTTTGGTCGTATGAAGGTATTTAAAAGAATTTCTTTAAAAATTTCTATTAGAAGGACAACAGAATGTGTTTAACGAACTGTTGTAAAGACAAAACATTACTGACCAAATTAAGAAATAATACATACCTCTTGTCAATAACAGGCTCTTAAGGAGGATTATGATATTTCATCTCACCAGCTAGGGCTATGTAATCCATTGGGGTGTATTTTACCTATAGCAAGACATCATTCTTGGAGAAGTAGTTATTGTTGTTAATGTGCCATCAAATTGGGATCTTCTCATAGCTGACTCTGGCTGATCTTTAGAGGCTTGAATGGCATGAGAAGAGATTGTCTTTCTTCCATGAATTTGTATGCCTTTGGGTTAGCAGTGCAGTTTCTAACTCATTAGGCCATCAGAGAATATACCCCTAAGAGCAAGCCCTGGGGACAAGAAAACATACTGATACCATCGTGCTAGGAGGAAGGGCTCCCTCAGGAGCACACTGTCCAGAAGGCCTGGAGTTTCTGGCCTATAGCCAGGTGACTCCTTGGTCAAGGCAATGGCAAGTAAATTATTTAGCAGCTTTCATGGCACAGGCAGCTCTTGGCTCAGTCAGGGTCGAGGTAGGGCACCATAACTATTCATTCTGTATTCTGGGAAAATCAGGCTGAACTTTATGAAGAACAATATAGCATCAGGTTAGGAAGAAGACTCATCAATAGCCTGAGATTTGCAGATGATGCAGATTTGCTTGTTGGAAGTGAGAAGTCCTTTTGAAACGCTTACTGCAGAAGATCAAAAGCTACAGCCTTCAATATGGATTGCATGTCAACATCAAGAGGACAAAAATTACTGCTAGGCCGATAGGCAGCATCATGATAGATGGAGAAAAGATTGACTTTGTCAGTTATTTCATCTTATTTAGATCCATGGTCAACACCCTTGGTAGCAGCAGCCAAGAAATCAAAAAACATACTGCATTGGGAAAGTCTGCTGTCAGAGACCTTTTCAAAACACTGAGTAGCAATGATGTCAGTTTGAAAATGAAAGTGTGCCTGTTCAATCACTTGCTGTGCATCTGAGAGCTGGTCATTGAATAAGGATGATAGAAGAAGAATGAATGCCTTTGAATTGTGGTATTAGAGAACAACACTGACTATCCCATGGACTGCCAAGAGAATAAACCGATAAGTCTTGGAGATAGAAGGTTGAGCCTGATAGCTCCTTGGAGGCCAGGATGGTGAAGCTTCATCTCATATTTAGTTAGGCACGTTCATTTCACAGTAACTAGGCGGGACTATTCCTTGGAAAAGGAACTTCATGCTTGAAACAGTGGAAGTTCAGTGAAAGAGAGGAAGACTCTCAACTAGATGGATTGACCCATGAGTGTAATAATGGGCTTATGTATGTCAGAGATGATATGGAAGACACAGAATAGGACAGGGTTCAGATCTGTTCATAGTGTTGCTGTGAGTTGTTCTTGACTCAGTGGCACATAACAATGACAAGACAAAGCCACCAGAACTCCTTTGGTGAAGTAGAGGGTTAGCATAAAAAAGGAACACCCTTTATAAGATGGATTGACAGAGCAGCCGCACCAGTAGGCTCAAAAACGGCAGTGATTATGGGGATGACATAGGGTTGGGAACAGTTTAATTCAGTGAGTCAGCTGACTGGATATCACTTAACAATGAATTATAATTTCTTCACCTGCTATGCTGACTTTTATAGTTTGAGCTGACACATTTAAAATTCTTGCTTTTCATCATAAAATGCACTTAAAATTTTTGAAGATAGGACTATACTTTTTATGTAAAAACTCTTGCATAATTATAAATAATATATTTTAATGATAAACGGGCTCTATAAATATAGCTGTAATTTTCTACATTAAAAAAATCCATAAAAATGCTGAAACACCCTGCAATTTTAATATTTTCCCATTGATAAATTCTGCTTTTTATAGCTGTATCTATATCTGTATCTATATACATATACACATCTATACATACATACATATGTTGTTAGGTACCATCAAGTCGAGACTGACTCAGCAGATCGTCAGCAGGTTTTCAGAAGCATGGGAGGAGATTGCTCTTCCTTTCCCCTTAGCTAGTAGATTTGAATCACATGTCTTTGGGATTGCAGCACAGCCATTTACCACTGGGCTGTCAGAGTGGTGTTAACAGTTTATTGTTCAAAATGGATTTCCTAACCATTGACATTGACTTTGCCATGTGGATGATGGTATATATGTGAATAGGACATGTTAAGTCTGTTCACAAGGGGATTGTCTAGTCTCGCTATTAAATTAAATGGATTCAGCAACAGAATTTGAGAATCTCAACATTAGCAAAGAAGTAGAGCACCCTGAGAGCAGCAGCCATTATAGTAGAGAACCAGAGACAGAGCCAACCTTGGGACTGCTACCCCATGAATCCAGAGCTAGGAACCTTTGGTCAGCTTTGTTTGAGAACTGGTGGGGAAACACCATAATTGGCAGGATTAAGCTTTGTAGGGAGCTCTGGTGATATTATGGTAAGAAGCTTCACTGCAATCCCAAAGACATGGGATTTGAATCCATTAGCTGCTCCATGGGAAAAAGGATGGGCAAACTCCTCTCGTGTGATTAATTGGCTTTGAAAACTGTCTGGAGAGTCAGCTATGGGTTGGTTCTGACTTGACGACACACATTAACAACAATAACAAGAATTTGAAAGGACTTGGGAGCACACTTTGGAAGCTGTTCTTACTGAGAAATTGTATCCTTTTGCCAACTGAAATTGTGTCCTATTAACTTCCCTAATAAACCCTAAAATCATGAGTATGGTTCTCTGTGTTCTGTGAGCTATTGCAATGGATATTGGATCTAGTTGAGTACTAAGATTGGTATTGGAATTAGTAGAAGGAGGTGTGTAAATTCCATCTTGGATTTTATGCTCTGGATAATGATGATGTTGATGGGGGCAGTTACCCCTTTTTTAAGTTAGTGGAGGTCAGCAAGCAGTCCTTACTCTTTACACACACACACACACACACACACACACATACGAATAAGGATGTCTGCCATCCTTAATTCAGCTTATATATACATATATGTGTGTACGTGTGTGTATGTGTATATATATATAAAATACACGTATGTATTATAAATGAAGTGTTGTGTATGAAATAATAAAAGAAAGAAGTAACTGGAATGATAGAAGGGAATGTCTTAGCAATTTTGTATAGTAGCTACATAGAGGTTCAAGTGTTGTGAAAAAGCTGATGTTGCATTCCGACTGAAAATACAATAAGGTATAAAGATGGTAGGAGACCTTTAACTTGTAGTGTAGACATTATGTTCATTAGTTTATTTAATCAAAAGTGAATGTAAAAGTAATTTTTAGTATTAATGTACTTAGTAATATTTTAATATCATTAAACTAATTAATATAATGGACTATAGTATTGGTTTGTGTTTTTCTTAATGTTTGTTTCCTAATAGATACGACCTTTTATGAAAGCACACCTAAATCGAGATAAAGATAAGGAACTTTTAAAATTAACTCAGTATCTCAAGGAAATAGCAAAATTAGATGACTTTTTAGAACTGAACCACAAATATTGGGAAAGGTAAGTGCCAACTTGTCTATCCTTTCTCTTTACCCTAATACATAGAATTGATTGTATAATGATTTTTCCCGTGTGCATACAATTCATCATTTTTATTTAAAATGGGTAAGTTATAAAGGTACTTTTCAGTCCAGCTATATCTCATTAGAAAATCTTTTTGTAGTTCTGTTAACATCTTACTTGTTCATAAAAGTGTATACCACAAGATCTTTAAAAATAACCCCAAAACTTCTAGTGGAGAGGACTTTAGAGAATAGTACAAATAACATAATATTATTATATTAATTATTTTATGACATTAGGTAAATAATGTTTTTAATGTATCCTATGATATGTATTACCTGCTTTCATAGCTCTGATGGCTTGGTGGTAAGGAATTGTATTGCCAACCTATGCACATGGCTTCAACCCACCAGTTGTTCTGCAAGAGAGAGAAAGGTCTGACTTGATAGTACATAACAAAACAACCACTTGCTTTCATACTGTGACTTAATGTCAAGATAAAATGAAATACATAAACATTTCCTTGCAAGTGTTAAAATTGTGTGGAACCTTTGTCTATAGCCAAAAAAAGTACACTAACAAAACAATTACTCATAGCCTTCCTATGCAAAGATAAGCACTGTTAATATGTTGGTGGATAGTCTTCTAGATTTTTTCTAAGGACAGATGAATGCATAAATTTAGATAGGAGACTATGCATAAACATCAACATTTTGAGAAAGACTTCTGAGAAGTAGAAAGGATAATTATATATAACAAATTAGATCTTAGTTGAATGTTTTATTTTAATCTATTTCTGGTAATAAAACAACAAAAGAAACTGTTCGTATAATAGTACCTTTGCTTTCAAATTGCTCCTTTGGCTTTAGATCGCTTTGACAAATGGCTTCTTATCTGAGTTTCATAATCCTTTTAAGAAGATAAGTCAGACTGAGCATATTTATTCCCATCTTCATTTTTTAAATGATATAACTGAGTCATGGAGAAATGATTGATGTTGTGCCAGAGAGTGAACATCGAAATTTATGTAGTTCTGACTTTAATTCTTCTCCGTCCCTTATCACTGATTATAGAACTTTGTGAAATAGAGATAAAGAAAGTTTTAATTTGGTGGTGGATTTATTATAAATAATATGAATTATTTTTTTCTTTCTTAGTAAAGTAATGCCTTTTCATCCTGAGTAAATTCCTTTAGCGTCCTTGACCTACTATGGCTATCTGAGATAGAGAAAGGACTCCTGGTGGTACAGTGTGTAATGGGCTGCTAAGAGAGGCCGGCTCCTCCCATAAAGATTAACAACTTCGGGAACTCAGTGGAGGCTCACTAGGTGGCAATGGATTTTGGTTTATAGTGGTGAAAAATTAAATAGTTCAAGAAAAAGTTCTTGCAATGTAATATGAGTGCCATTTAAAAATTAAAGTATTATTTAATGCATTTACTTCCACATTTGCAACTAAGGTGGTATGGAGAGGTTGAAGGGTGAGTGCAGCCAGTACCTTTAGAGACTGTCAGTCAAGCTACTGTGCCAGGAGTGCAGTAGTCAGAGCCAACCTACTTTGTTTTGGCTCTTGAGTTCTGCTACCCTCTTGCTGTGGAGCTAGAATAATTTGATTAATTTGTTTGTATCTGTAAAAGAGGAATAATTTATAGTAGAAAATTTCTTACATAACTCTGAGGACTAAATGAGTTAATATGTGTATTTAGAAGTGCTTTGCACATATGCCACCAGTAGATGCTAGCGATTAACAATTGCTGCTGTACCTCAGAGATCTTGTGTGTTCTGTTCCAGACATCATCTGTAAAATGTCATGGTAAAGTGAGTGATGAACTTTTTGTTTTACAATACATGTAAAAGTTCTCTTCCTTATACTATAGTAAGTGTGTAATAATAGCATTATGAAGAATTTTGAAATAGTGTGCTAATTACCAGAAAATAAATCGATACATGAAGAGAGGATATGCTGTTGGAAAAATGGTACCAATATATTTGACACAGAGTTGCCACAAACCCTTATGTTAAAAAAACCAAACCCAACTCATATAAAACTAAAACAAGACAGAATCTGGAAAGGGCAGTAAAGTGAAGCACAATAAAACAGTCTATGCCTGTATTCATTTTGAAAAGCTTTGTTATATCTTCAAAATAAACTACATATCTTTGGGAGGATACTTGGCTTGTTATGGACTTACTTAGTGTGGCATGGATTTGACATCTTTTTTTATTTCTTACAGATACCTCTCAAAGAAGCAAGGACAGTAATTATAAGTTACACTGGCAGCTGTTGAAGATACTTGAGATCCATGAACTTCTTGCTTTTATCCTAGAAACCATTATGATAGTGCTGGGCACTGAAGCAAAAACCTGAGTGCTTATACTTTGTCTTCCACTTTTTTGTAAATTTAATTTTATATTTTTTGAAGATCATAGCAATATGCTTTAAAAAAAAATCCATTTTCCCCCCTGTATGTATAAACTGTTAACTCTTGGTAAAATATTTTCCCCAGCATTGATTACTAACTTCCCACCCCACCCCCGCACCACCACCACCAAAAAAGGGAGGAAAATGTATACTGAACAATGTTATTCTGTGACTTCAGAAACAAGTTTTATTATCTTGGTTTTTGACTCACTAACTCTCAAGGCAAATGCACCTTGAAATGAATGTTTTTCCCTTAATAGCCTCCCCAAAAATGTTTTGGAGTAAGAGCTCTCTTAAGTATGTTTAAATTGCTAAGATTTTTGTCATTCTTTTGTCATAGCCAAATTCTTGTGTGTAATCTACTACTTAAATTTCTAAATTTTGAGTTGCCTCAAGTTTGCTCTGTATGTGTGCCAGTGTTCTTTGAGTAAAACTGGAAAACATCAGCTGTGATACAGATACGTCATAGTATGAAAAATAGAATACTTAAGACTAAAAAAATGAATGCCTGTCTTTGATGTCTTAAATTGAAGCACCTCAGCCTTTGTCGAGGCAAACCATTCTCATAAAAGCAATTAAAGGCACTAAATCTTAAAGTGAGACATATCACTGATTTCAGCCCTAAAAAGTATAAACAAAAGTTACTGTTCTGTTAAAGCTATACCTTGCCTAAGTGCAAACACTGTGCTTCAGTAAAAATAACCGCTGTAGGATTTAAAGAAAAATTGCATTGCTTAAGCTTGCACTATAGATAAGTACTTGACGACTTGTTTTGTGTTGACAGTATTGCTTTATATGGTTATTGTATTTGAAGGGAATCCCTTCCTTTCAAATAAATATGGTGTATATTGTTCTTTCAGGACAATTTCAGTGGTGTAAATAATAAATGCCTTTTCTTAAAATATTTGGTATCTGCTTTTAATTATCTCAAATATTTTGCCTCTTTTGAATCACAGAGTTAACAAAGTTCAGGCAAGAACTTCTTGAAAAAAATTAATTTGTATAATTTTAAAAATATGTGTCTTATGATCATGCATTCAGGGGTGATTTTAGCTAACTAATTGGGTATGTTAAATTACTTAATTCAAATAAACACCATGTGTTTAGAAAGAAATACTATATTTATTTGTGACAGTTTATTAGGATATACAATAAATAAGAGTTTGAGAATTTTCAGCCAATTAAATGATTGATTGAAATATATTTTCCAAGTATGAACTGTACTTTAAATTTGGAGATAATATAATTTAAAAAAATCTATTAATTTCATTTGTACTTATTTCCATTGTAATACTTTAGTATTGCAAGGTAGGCTTAGAAGTCACTTGATCTTTTTAAGAAAATCGGCAATAAAAGTAAACATTTTTCAAATCAGTGTAAGTGAAAATACAAATTTAACAAGCATCAGGAAGCAAAGTAGAATATTAAATATCGTTTTCTACCATTAGGGGGTGCCCAAGCCAAAGCTGATTTGTTAGTAAGATTTAATTAAGCAATTCTGAGAAAACGTATTCATTATTGATTTTTTTGAGATCATGTGTGTCAATATTTTTATGAAGTATAGCTATTTATTTTGTATTCTGCAGTTCCTTGTTTATAAAAAAAAAAAAAGTCTATATCCAGGGCACACACTGCACAACCAGGACATGACAATTCAGATATATATTCTAATAAATTAGTGTGTTTTTTTTTATATATATGCTCCATACTTCCAAACAATTATAATCTCAACAACTATTTAAAACCACTATGGTGTTGGTTTTAGGTGCTATTAAGTTGACCATGACTCATAGCAACCCTGTGAACAACACACCTGAACCTAGCTCAAGGCTGTGCTATCCTTATTATCTCTGGTTACAATTGAGCTCATTGTTAAAATCATTCTATCAATCCATGTTGTTGAGGATCTTTTCCTTTCCTTTCCCCTCCACCTTTCTAAGCATGGTATCTTTTTTTTGAAGGACTAGACCTTCATAACAACATTCCCAAAGTATGTGAGACCAAGTTTCACCATCCTTGCCTGTAAGGAGGACCCTTGTCATACTTTAAGACAATTGTTCTTTTGGCAGTCCATGAGATATTTAGTACTCTTTTCCATCATCACAATTCAAAGGAATCAGATCTTCTGTCATTGTTATTCATTTCCTAACTTTCAGAAGAATAGGAAGTAATAAAAATTACCAGGCTTAGGTGGGGCACACATTCGTCTTTAAACTGACATACTTGCTCTTTTCCACTTTGACGAGGTCCTTGACAGCATAATTCACAAAGCAACACATCTTGATTTCTTGACTACCGGTACCGAGAGTGTTAATTGTGGATCCACGTAAGATGAAAATTATTGACAGTTTCAATCTTTTCTCCATCTATTATGATGTTGCCTATTGATCTATTGATGAGGAATTTTTGGTTTCTTGATGTTGAAATGTAATGCATATTGAAGAATGTAGTCTTTGATCTTCTGCAGCAAGTGTTTCAAGTCCTCTTTCAGTAAAGTTGTCATGTTCGTATGAACATTAACAATCCTAAGTAGATTGGTTATGAGTCTTCCTCCAATCCTAATGCTACATTCTTCATATAGTCCAGCTTCCCAAATGATTTGCTTGAATCATACAGATTGAATAAGTATGGAGAAAGGATGCACACCTTTCTTGGTTTTAAATCATGCATTATTCCCTTGTTCTGTTTAGACAGCTGCTTCTTGGTCTACATAGAGGTTTCACATGAGCACAATTAAGTGTCCTGGGATTCTCATTCTCAGTTTTAGCCATAATTTGTTGCAATTCACACAATCAAATGCCTTTGCACAGTCAGTAAAATACTATAGGACATTAAATCTGACTCAGAAAACAGATCTTGTAGCCCCTCTGGACCTCATAAAAATCAATGGTCTAATGACTCCTATAGCATCTACTAAACTCCAGTAGATAAACGGGTTTTATAGTAAGCAACTGAGAAGTGAATTAAGTTTTTTGGAGGAAGTGATGGGACAGCAGGACTGGTATTGAAAACGAAATGTGAAAACAGTTTATTGCTTGTTTTTAAAGTGCAAGAGCAGCAATAAAACAAATAATGGATAGACCAAGTTTTCTTATCCCAAGTAATCTACTCTTAAGGGAAAAAGTTAGTTTCCACTGAAGTGTTAATATATCAGATCTCTGAAGATTAAATGCCCAGATACTTATATACTAGTTTTTGGAAGTGTTTGGGGGAAGTTATGTGGCTCTTGGGAGCTCTGGTGACTTCGCACTAAGGAATTACATTGCCAACCCAAAAGCATGCAGTTCAAATCCACCAGCTGCTCCAAGGGAGAAAAATGGGCAGTCTCCTCCTGTGTGAATTACTGCCTTTGAAAACTCACTGGAGGGTCATTTGAGAGAAATGAACTCTGCTGGAGGAGGGGCAATCTCATGTACCAGCCAGATCCAATTTGACGGTACACACACACACACAAAATAATAAAAAAAAAAATGAATAAGCATAGTAGTAACTGGTTTGTAAATCATTATCAGGCCATCTCTAAGGTTGATGAGGGAGCTCCAAAGGTGAAGCTTGTGGAGTGTTGCACTGCTAACTAAAAGGCTGTGTCTCTCAGGGTTCAAATCCCATAGCTGCCCTGTGGGAAAGAGATAAGCAGACTTCTTCCATCTCAATATACAGACTTGGAAATCCAGTGGAGAGACGTTATGAGTCAGAACTGATTCAGTATCAATGAGTTTGAGTTTGCTTTAAGGTTAGTGGTTAGAATCAACCTAGTGACACTGGAGGAAGAAAGGCCTTTGAAGATTTACTTCTGTAAGATTATCCACTGCTGCCAATACATTCTGACCAATGGCAGCCCTCCATCAGGTTTTCAGAGCTGAAAATAATCTTAATGGGAACGGACTGCTTCATCTTCTGAGGAACAGCTGATGGGTCAAATGATTGTTGTTTTAGTTAGCAGCCTGAAGGATAATGCGCTACCCCACTAGGGGTCCTTCTGGATATGACGCCTAATTAATACTCTATGAAGTGCAGTTCTCAGAAACACTTAGAAGTGCAACCAGAGCGCTACTTAGAGGCAAGGATGGGGAACTTTTGTCCCACTTACTTTGGGCATATTTTCAGCAGAAACCAACTCTTAGAAAGAGCCATCATGCTGGGAAAGGTAGGTCAGCAAAAGGGAAGACACTCAACACGATGGATTTACAGTGACCACCACAGTAGGCCCAAACGTGACAAAAATTGTCAAGTTGGGCAGGATAGGGCAAGGTTATATGATGTAGAGTTCATAGGCTGCATATGAGTCATAATCAACCTAACAACATCGGCAGGAATTCCCAATAAAAAGGGAATTAATTAGGTTGTAGAGGAAAACTGCTAACCCCTAGATCGAGCCTCTGCTCCTTTGAAGCCACTACCACCTCTGAAGGAGGAAGATGGATAATCTCCCTTTGTGTGACTTAATTTTTGATTAACCTTAATCCTTTGAAACCCAATGGAGGGTCAGCTCTGAGTCTGAGTTGGTCTTGATGGCAATGAGTTTTCTTTTTTTTTTTTTTTTATAAAGCCAGTCAAATTGAGCAGTGGGGGGTTGATAAGAGTTATGCAGAATACTGGAGAAAAGTCTTGTGAATAGAGCTAAGAGAAATGACTAAGCCTCAAGGTAGGTTTTTCAGGGTAGAGTCACCTGGAGGAGAAGGGGTTGGAGAGGTAGGTAGAGTCCTGGGACAGGTAGCATTTTGCAAGGGGCAGTCAGTAACCTGAATTCTAAGTCAAATGAAATCAATGGAGGGCTTTAAGCAGGGAAGTGATGATCTAATTGTTTTTAATAGCTTTCTGGAGATTTTACATAGCATAAAATTTATGAATTTGGAGTGTGCATGACTTTTAGCATATTTGTAGAGTTGTGCAACCATTACATGTTTTAATTTTAGAAAATGATTTGTTTTTTGATAGTTCATTCTGATTCTTTTGTAGAAAATGAATTGTAGAGAGGCACAGGTAGAAGAAACTTCTGATGTTATTCAGATGAGAGATTTACAAAATGACCGAAGGAAAGTTTATAAATTCCTTCACTCTCCTACATTGCATCATTTCTCAACTACCTACTGAGCTGATTTGATGTGCCAGATATGTGTGAGGTGCC